TGGCTTTTCCTGCTGCCAGAAAGAGATTTTTTTTTTTTGTCTTTCATTTCCTGATGTCTTTTGTTTGCGATACCGCATTTTTGTAAATTTAAGCAGGAGAGTGAAAAAGCAGGAGCAAGGGAAGGACAGGGGAAGGGACTGGGAGGGAGGAGGAGGCGCCGCGCTGCTCCGGGCCACCGCCCTGGCTCTCGTCCCTCGCGCATGCGCGGGGGCAGCTCTTTCCTCTCGCCAGCCGCTACACCTTGGGACTCTCTCTGCAGATGGCGCTCCCGCCGCGGTTTCTAGCGCTCTGCCTTCTCAGAAAAGCCACTTCTGGCCCCGGGTTGATAGTGTGGGGTCAAGTGCGCTCGTTCTGTGCAGAGGCTGGAGGTAGGTCGGGGCTCGTGCCCCTGGATCAGGTCGGGAGGCTTCTGTGGTTGTCCGTGGCAGCCTCAGGCCTGGTGTCTGGGCCCATGTTGCTCAGATCAGGGTGGGGGTGGGCCGGGGTGGGGAGAAGAGCGAGTCCCGGCCCTGGGGGCCGCCACGGTGGCCCATTTCTGTGCCTGCTCAGAACAGAGCAGCAGCGGTCACTGGCTGGCTGCGGTCCTGGGTCACTGCACCCTTCTCATCCTTTTTGGCTGCCTGTCGTGGCCTCCGTGTGGCCTGAGAGTGTGTTAGTGTGCAGATTGCTGACGCACTTGTAAGGATCCTTGGGCACGGAGCTCTCCAGCCGGGCCTCTGTCCCTGAGCCCCACGGGCCCCGGGCCCCCTCTGTTCCCCTCTGTGTGGCTGCTGTTGCCCAGAGCACCTGCTGCGCCTGGCCCTGAGCTGTTGAGATCTGTCTGAGCACCAGGCCCGGCGAGCAGGCCAGGGTATGGATAAGCTCACTGCCCCGGGTGGATAAGCCAGCGACCTGTTTCAGTCTGCAGGGAAGGGTGGGGTGGCCACAGGCCTGTGGACCCCTGCGCACCGGTGTGCACACATCCCTGGAAGCTTAGTCGGAGGAGGAGCCAGGTAGTTGCTGTGTATGTGTGCGTGTGCATGTGCGTGTGCATGTGCATGTGCATGCGTGCCGGGCCAGTTGATAGGGCCGTTTGATGACCCAAGTGCCACTGCCTCCTCTGCAGGACGCACTTGACCCCTGAGAGCCCCCTGTGGGTGGGTGCCTGGTGGATTGGCTTCCTGGGAGCTGGGGTGGCAGCCTTGCTCGTTGCTGTCCCCATCCTTGGCTACCCCCAACAGCTGCCAGGTGAGTTTTCCTGTCCCAGCCCAGATGTCCCTTCAGGGAGTAAGGACTCCCTATCCCTTTCCTTCTGTCTTCGATTGGTGAAGAGCAAGGCCAGTCTGAGCTTCTCCACGATGCTGAGTGACCGACAGGGCCGGCCTGACCAGCAGCAGGCACTGTCCAGTTCCATGGCCCCCCTCATGTCCCTCACCGGCAGGCAAACTTCTACCTCACTCTGTGCATGTCCTTGGCACCAGGCCTGCAGTGGCTGCAGGGTGGCAAGGGGGTGTCGCCCAACCCAGGAGGGACCCCGCAAGCCATTGCCCAGCAGAGATCAAAAGTCACTGACTTTCCCTCAGGTTCCCAGCGCTATGTCGTCATGAGGGCAGCAGAGACACAGCAGCTGAAAGACCACAGTCACAAGACGGCAAGCAACCCAGCCTTCGGGAGGACCGTCAGAGACCTGCCCCTGTAAGGACCTGGGGCAGGGGTAGTGGGCCCCGTGTGGAGGTCAGGGCAGCCCATAGCTCCTAGAGCAGTTTCATGACTCACCAGCCCCTGAAACGTGGGCAGCACAGCCTCTGTGGTTGTAGGATGGGCAAGGTCCTGCAGCAAGTCCGATCCACAGCCGTGAGCCTCCTCCCCCCAGCTGCTTGTCCTGGGCTCTGGGAGGCTGCCCTGAGCCTGGGACCCTTCCACCGGGCATCAGCAGTGGGTTTGCCCTTGGTGCTCTGGGCTGGTGAGCTTGTGCTCCTTCCGGGCCCTTTAAGGGCCACAGGAAGCCCCTACCCACTTCTGACGCTGCTTACCCATCTCCCTGGTGCACACTCCTTCATGCCAGTGCTGTTTCCTGGGTTACATCCTTACCACCCTCCTCTCTGGCCGTCCACTGCCTGGCCTAGCTTTGTTCTCTTCATGCACAAAGGAGGTGGCCTCAACTGCCCAGGTCCTAGAGAGATGGCCTGGAGCCGGGGGCCTGGTACCCAGGGTCCTGTCCTCACAGGACCGAGCATGCCTTGGGGGTGCCCACACAGCTGGCTGTGGCCTTTGGTGGCCACCTCCAGTCCTCAGCCTCTGGGACCAGTGCGGCGCTTTCTTTCAGGGGTGGTGGCATCTAAGTGACCCGTGGAGGCTGAGGGCCTGAGGTGCTAAGGATGAGACCAGGCCTGTCCACAACGCGGGGAGGATGGTGGCTGGGGTGGCTCCACAGAGAGTCCCCAGGTTGAGCAGGAGCAGAGCTGGCCCCTGAGGGCTCACTGTCACTTCGAGGGGTGAAGAGATGGGGACTCCATGGTGTGGTGGACAGAGCTTGGGGGTGTCATGCCTGTTCAGAGCCAGGGGCCAGCAGCCCGCTTGCCACCCGCGCAGCACGAGCCCTGGAGCATGCGCCCTGCACTAAAATCACGAGTAGTTCTCTGGTGACATCAGCAAAGTTTCCTGGCTCCTGTATTCTGTAGGACAGCGTCACCTTCGTCCTGCTGCATCGGCCTGGAGCCTGGCAGCAGGGGGACCCGGGCAGGGACCCCGGGCGTCAGCACCTGGCCCAGATCGAAGTGTGGCCCAGATCGAGGAGGGCCCCGCCCAGCCAGCGCCTGCTGCGGGGTGATGGTCTCCTCTGTAGCTTCTCTGCTCTGCTGAGCCTGGGGAGCCCTCCACATGGCCAGAGAGACGGCTTTTAACCCTGAGCCAGAGAGTAAATTCTGGGGATTTGGGTGCTCCTCTGGAATCAGGACAAGGGACAAAGGGAACCTTGTGACGAGTGCTGCCCTGACCACGCGCACGATGGTGCCACGCTGTTAGCCTCTGGGAGGTGGGCGGCAGCCTTCCCTAGTAGCAGCTGTCAGGGCTTCTGCCTTTCCAGAAGTGTCCAGATGTGCAGAGCTGCCTTGAGGCGCTCTGTGCTCTCCTCAGCGTCTAGACTTGGGGAGGAGTGTCACTGTCCTGCGGCTGATGTGATGGGAGGCCACTGGAAACAGTTCTCAGGGGAGACGTAGAAAGCACACAGGCACCCCTGCTTCTGCCCACGAAACTGCTAGGTGCAGTGGTGGTGCATACCTGTAATCCCGGCACTCTGGGAGGCTGAGGCAGAAGGATCACAAGTTCAGGCTGCTTGGGCAACTTAGTGACTTAGTGAGGGTCTGTCTCAAAACAAAAAATGAAACTGCAGACGTAGCTCAGTGCAAAGGCACTGGGTCCAATCCCTGGTGCACCCCCCACCCCCAGGCTCACTCAGCAGGAGCCCCAGGACAGCTTTGACAGCAACCCAAATATGGATATGAAGAGCTGTTCAGAGCCCCTCCTGGGAACAGCCTTCTGCACGGTGTTCCTGTTGGTGGTAGGCAGGGAGCACACTGTGCTCTTAAGTCTGAGCCAGGGCTTCTGTGTACAGCTGGCAAGGGGACAAGCTCGTCCTGGGGAGCAGAGAGCCCCCCTGGCCTTTCACCTCCCCCAGGTCCAGCTGACTGATGTGATTTCGGTTCTCGGCTCAGCCACCTCACCCTGCTCTGGGGATGGGTGCTTTCTGCTTTGGCCTTGTCCACGATCCCGTCGACCTTGCAGGTGCTTAAGCCTGGTCCTGGGGGTGTGATGGACCCCACCCCGTGGGCGGCTGCACTGAGTACAGTGCTAAGCACTGGCTCCACCCACACCCCAGCCACCTGGCGTGGCTTCGGGAAGCAGGTCAAGGCCTCACGGTGGCAGCTGGCTGTGTGACGTGGAACTTTCCTCAGCCCAGTCCAGAAGCCACTGGAGGGGACAGACGCCGGGGCACCCTGGGGCCCCAGGGTTGCAGGCACCTGGGTCTCAGAGGGAAGGTCCAGACTAGAGTCATCCAGAATTAGCAGCTGCACCTGGCCACCGGTCCTGGCTGCTGCCCCCCGAGTGTGAGCCAGGGAAAGCTGGGGCGCCAGCCAAGCCCTCGCAGGGCCCCTGGGTGCAGATCCTGGTGTCTTGCTCCCCACTTCCTTCCGGGCAGTGGCTGAGAGCTGGTCCTGCTCCTGGTAACCGTGGCCTGCCTACGCAGCTGCTCTAGTGCAGGACCCGCTTCTCTCAGGCCTCCACCACTGTGACAGCTGCCTCACTGGAGGCCGTGAGCCCAGGCCTCCAAGGTCACTTGAGGTCCCGGCCATGTGGAAGCCAGGAGTCTGGCCATGGTGCTGATAGGTGTGGGGTCAGCTTCTGTGGCTTCCAGGGAAGCTGTCCAGAGGTCAGGCCCCGGCTGTTGCCTCCCTACTGGCACCCTCCCCTGTCTCCGACACCCCACTTCATGCCCTCTCAGAACGGGGGTCCCTGTGCTTGGCCGCCCTGACCACTGTCTCATCTCTGCTTCTGTCCCCCTCGCCTGTCCAGCTCCATCTGGCTCCTCCTGAAGAACCCCACATTCATCCTGCTCTGTCTGGCAGGGGCCACTGAGGCCACGCTCGTTGCCAGCATGTCCACGTTCGGCCCCAAGTTCTTCGAGGCCCAGTTCAGCCTCAGCGCCTCAGAAGCTGCCTCTTTGTTTGGTGAGAAAGCTCTGGGTCCTGGAGTTCTTCCCCCTGGGCAGGAGTGTGTGCTGGAGCAGCTTGGGGCCTGGAGGGCCGCGCCAGGGCGTGGTGCCCCTGGGGTGGGGTGGGGTCAACCCCTCCTCCTGCCGCCCAGGCTGTGCTGCCAGCGGGCTGGGCCTGGTGCTCCTGTGAGCCCCACAGCTGGTGCCTAGGAGGCCGGGCGGGCGCAGGCTCACTGCCCTGTCTCAGGCCCCGTGCTGAGCGTGTGGCCTGGCCTCACTGGTCGAGCTCTGGTCGGGCCAACAGGCCTGTGTGTGCGTGGCCAGTGCTGGCTTACTTGCCTCTGTGGTGCACCCGAGGGCCACCTCCCTTGCCCAGGCCCTCCTCACGAGCCCCCTGGACTGGCCCGTGCATCCCACCCAGCCATGGCAGCTCCCTCTCCCCCAGCCCCTCTCCTGTTGGGCGCTTCCTGGGGCCACACTTTTCCTGCATCCAGCTCTCTGGGGCTCCCCCTGCAGGCCTGAGTGGAGGCTCCCGCAGTGGCTCTGCTGAGCAGCAGCTTGGGTGCGGCCGTGTCCCTGCCGGCCTGCTTCCCTGCCCAGGAACTAGAGGTTAAGGCCTGGCCAGTGCCCTCCTTGCGCTCACCAAGCCCCCTCCCCCAGGTTACCTGGTGGTGCCGGCGGGTGGCGGTGGCACGCTGCTGGGCGGCTTCCTGGTGAACAGGTTTAAGCTGCGAGGCCCTGGGATCATCAGGTTCTGCCTGCTCTGCACCCTGACCAGCCTGCTCGCCTTCCTCGTCTTCTTCACGCACTGCCCCAATGTGCCCATGGCTGGCGTGACGACAGGCTATACCCGCAGGTGAGGCTGGGCGCCTGCGGTCCCTGGAAGGGTGGTGTTTGGGAAGCATCACCCCAAGGAATGCCGCCTCCCACCCTGGACCTCAGTCTCCTGTAGACAAGACAGCAGTAGCCACAGCGCAGGGTCCTTGCGTGGACATGAGATGTGTACAAATGTCCACTCCCGTGTGTGCCCAGTTACCTGCAGTGCACAGCTGTGCCACGCTGGGGACAGCTGAGGCTGTGGGTGTAGTCGCGCCCAGCACGCTTTTCTGACTTGCCTTTTGGGCTATAGCCATTCAATTCCTATCCTTTAAAACAAACAAAAAGCCTCCCACTAAACCCAGCAACACTAGAGTGTGGGCCACGAACAGCAGAGCCACAGAATTAGAAGCAAACGTGGAGTCCGCAGTACCTCGTGTGCTGGGGGCCACCAGCCAGGTGAATTTGCAGACCCTGGATGTGGCCTGGGGGAGGAACTGAGATAGTCCTGGTGCCACGTGGCACTGGCCACTGTCCCACCGCCACTTGTGTCCTCAGTCTCCAGCCTGAAGGCTACCTGAACCTGACGGCCGCCTGCAATGCACACTGCAGTTGCTCGCCGGAGCACTACAGCCCCGTGTGTGACTCGAACAACACCATGTACTACTCCCCCTGCCACGCGGGGTGCCAGCACACCGACCCAGCTAGTCCGAAGGTGAGTGTGGCTGCTCCCGTGGCCAGGCTGTCCCGACCTGGGCAGGGGCCTGTGCCTTCCTCCTGTCATCAGCGCTGTTGTTGGGCTCCTCAGGTGTACCAAGGCTGTAGCTGTGTCCCCACAAGCTTGGGCAATGCCACCGCAGGGAAATGCACCTCATCCTGTCAGAGAAAGCCCCTCCTTCTGGTTCTCGTGTTCGTTGTAATTATCTTTACCTTCCTCAGCAGCATCCCTGCGCTGACGGCGACTCTACGGTAAGCGCAGCCGCTCTGCCCCGCCAGCGCCTTCTCTTGCAGCCCTGACAGGTGGCGCCTGAGGACCCCGGGGCGCGCAGGGGTCTAGTGGCAGGAGGTGCTGCTGTCCCTGGCCTCTGGCAGGATGCTTGCCACCGGGGGTGGTGATGGTGTGGCCCTCAGGTGTGGGTGAGACCTGGCGGCCGTCAGAAACCAGCGAGGTGCTTTCCATCGCAGGTGTGTCTGTGACCAGCAGAGGTCCTTTGCCCTGGGAATCCAGTGGATCGTGGTCAGGACCCTAGGTACTGTGGACACCGTGGAGAGGTGTGCGGTGTGCTCGCTGGACCAGGGCGTCAGAGATGCCTCCTCCCTGAGTCCCCGGGCGCCACCACCCCGGGAAGGGCGCTACCCCAAACTGTCCACTAGGGGGCGAGTTGTCACTTGTGTCTTGTACCCGACCTGAGGCTCCCAGCTCTGAGAGCCCAGGGAAGGCGCGCTTCAGCCCCTTCGCACCCCTGGGAGCCCTGGGGGCCTGCGTTGCCCAGCTAGGGGCCCATGCATGCTCACCCTGTACCCTTGCCTCTGTGGAGTACTGAGGAGCCCTCTCGCTGTAGGCAGCATCCCAGGACCCATCGCATTCGGCTGGGTGATCGACAAGGCCTGCCTGCTGTGGCAAGACCAGTGTGGCCACCAGGGCTCCTGCTTCGTGTACCAGAATGCAGCCATGAGCCGCTACATGCTGGTCGTGGGGCTCGCCTACAAGGTAGGGTCTTCAGGGGGAGTGCGGGGCAGGCTCTTCTCTAGTGGGCTTGGGGTTCCCGGGTGAGACATACTACACCTGGTCCTGTAGCTAGACTCTGTGGACATGGCTGCTCTGGAGGGAGCCAGGGGACCCCAGCGTGGGGACGAGCCCAGCACTTCCTGGCTGGCGGCCTGAGCTCAGAGCAGCCTGCTCTTCTGCCTGCTGGGGCTGCCCACCTCTGAGTTCTAGAGAAGCTCTGAGGCACTAGCAGGAGGGGCCTTGGCCTGCTCTCTCCAGGCTGGTCTGCCAGGGGTAGCGAGGGACACATGGCCTTAGTCTGCGGGGAGTAGTTTCTCAAGAGAAGCACACTGCTGTGACTCTTGGCTTAGGCTATCTGGGGAGAAGCAGGGTGTTTCTGTCCCACTAGAGGGGAAGCACGAAGCCTTCTATGAGAGAAGAGGTGTAGGTGGTAGATCCTAGGTTCTGAGTTCTACGATGGGAGCTTGTGGCTGTTCAGCCGCTACCTCAGAGCCCTGAGCTTTATCCCCCTGGGATTAGTTTAAAAATAGGCAAGGGAAAGGGATTAGCATGGTTCTGGACAAGAGCAGTGGTTTAAAGTGACAAACCTGCTCGCAGGGAGCTGCCTCTTGGTCCTCTTTCCCAGGCTGGGTGCTGGGTGTTTCAAGGCCCACGTGTGGGTGTTAATTAAGGAACAGGCATGGACAGGCCCCTCTGCCCCAGTCCTGGCCACTGATCCTGTGCAGCAAGAGGAAGCAGCGCTGTGACATGGCTGTGACCCCAGGGTGGCACCCAGGTGCAGCGGAAGCCACGCCTTCCATGTGCACACACCACCCCCAGGCCTGCGCTGCCATCTCTTAGTTGGGAAGGTCAGTGTGCCCCCAGGCTGCAGGGAGAGAAACTGAGGCTCAGAGGCTAAGAAGCCTGGGGTGCCCTAACAAAGCTGCATCCTCGAAGGGCTGGAAACAGCAGAACCTTGGCCAGGCAGCATGTGTGCGTGTGTGTGTGTGTGTGTGCGCGCGTGTGTGTGCACATGCACATGCATGGACACTCACACCAGTCACTGCTGTCTTCTCAGCCACCCCCGTCATGCCCCTGGTCTGTCTTCACCTTTCTTTTATATGGATAGTAGTGTTTGGATTTGGGGCCGCCTTGAAGCCAGGATAGCCTCGTGCTGAGATGCAGGTCTTGAGCATAATTACCTCTACAAAGGCCCCACTTCCGCATGGGTCCTTCCCAGGTTCCTGGGGTTTTAGGCCTTGCATACAGCTTTGGGGGAGACCCCCTCATGCTGCTTCTGCATTTAGACAGCACTCGTTTCGTGCCCCCATTTAAGTTCTGGGTCCAGGCCCTGCGGGACCAGGTGTCTTGGCTGCAGATCGGGGTGGGCTCCAGGGCTGGTGAGGTCTAGCAGGCTCCTCCTGTGTTCCCAGGTGCTGGGCTTCCTCTTCTTTGCTACTGCCTACTTCCTGTACAAGCCCCCGTCCGGGTCCTCGGGTGGCCTGGAACCCTCTCTGCCCAGTCAGTCGTCGGCCTCCGAAAGTCCCACGGACCTCCAGTGCCAGCGCGATGTCTGACCACCGCCCAACTGAGGACTCCTGGCCCTCACAGGAGCCGCAGGGCCTTCAACACCATCGTGGCTCTTGGAAGGACTAACTTCTCACCAAGGCCACAGTGCCAGGGACTTGTAGGAGACCTTGCACTGGGTCCTGGGGCCTGCAGAGCCACCGCAAGTTTGTAGCTGAGCCATGGGTCATGGGAGTCAGGGCTCGAAGCTCTAAGGAGAAATCACACCAGGCATATTGGAAGTGGACGCGCCCCTCCCAGCCCCTCCTCTGAGGACCAGCCTGTCCTGCTGGCTGCCTGCCTGGCTCTGACTTCCGGTCTTGCTTCTGAATCGCCAGTAATGCAAGAAAGAGTGAGGGAGAGAGAGAGAGACAGCGAGGGAAGGAGGGAGAGAGGAGAGAGAGAGTGACAGAGAGTCAGGCAGAAACACAGAGACATACGCCAGTGTTGACACCTGCGCACGCACTGTGGGCGAGTTGGAGCAAGAGCTCCTACCCTGCAGGCGCCAGTCAGGCCTGGGACAGGGCGTTTCTGTGTCCTCAGTCCAAGTTGTGCATGTGTAAATATATTTTAATATTGGAAGCTCACGCCCCTGTGCAGTGTGCCTTCTGTGATTCGCCGTCTGCGGCTTTGCCGTCTTCCACAGGGTTTGTGGCAGCAGGCTGCCCTGGCACAGGCTTGGCCTGTGCGTGGTTCTCCCCGGTGGGCCTCTGCTCCCCTCTCCTCTGACTCGAGCAGCAGTGGAGGCACAGGGCTCCTCCACCCTGGTCTGGCGGGGACAGGTGTCAGCTGCGACCCTGCCCTCGGTCTCCCCGCTTCTGAGATCCCCCTGGGGGATCTGCACTGGGGCACACTGTGGATGAAGGAGGGCGAGTGTGTGCACGAGCGTGCGTGTGCAGGAGCGCATGCATGTGAGAAAGCCCACACGGGAGCCCAGCCGGGCAGCCTGTCTGCAGGAGCCTGTGGCAGGTACGTCAGCCCAGCAGTGGTGGAGTGTCACACAGAGTCATCCCCAGCTGATGTGTGAGTGCAGAGCTGATGGAAAACACCCCCAAAGGCAAGAAGCAGGCGAGAGCCTGGGCACTGGGGCTCCCTCGCACAGGGCAGAGGGGAGGCTTCCCAAGGAGGGCGTCTGAGCAAGACTCGAGGCAGGGCATCAGCAGGTGCTGGGCCCTGAGCAGCTGCAAGAGCAGCCCCTGGCGACGGGACAGGCTTCTGGGTCTTTGTCACCTACTTTCTTCCTCCACACGCAGTCTGATTTGCGTAGGAAGCGTCTGCGGAGCTCCCTCGCAGCAGTGTGCAGAGGGGTGAGGGGCCTGGGCCTGGGGGTTGCAGGGAGTGCTCAGGGCCCAGTCGAGCGCCCCTTCCCTGCAGCTCCCCATGGCTGCTGCTGCTGCTGCTGTGTGCTGCCTTCAGCTGACTGGAGCCAAAGAAATGAAAGTGAACGATCAGTGTGACTGCGTGTGAAGCAGAAGTACATAGAAATACAGTCGCTTGCTCTTTCCACTTACATCGCCCTGGTCACTAGTGAGGTTTGATAGCTGGTCTGGACCTAATCATGTCCCCCAAATATAGCCCCTCTAGATCTGAATTTAGAGATGGCCATGCTGAGGGGCTGCAGGCCGGGTACAGGGAGGCCCAACCTCTAGGATTGGCTCTCGTGAGAAGAGTCCAGAGTTCCATGTTCCCCTGCATGAGCTATCAGGCGGGGCCTTGGGTAGGCCCTCCCTGCAGCCTGCTGGCTGGGAGACACGCCTGCTGTTTGGCCGCCTGCCTGGATTTGCTTCTGCGGCAGGGCACCCTCAGCAGCTTCTGGCCTTGGCCCCTGGAAGAGCCACCTGGCTGTGCCCCTGGCCTGCGCCCAGGGCTCTGCACATGTCTGCGAAACAGCATCTCTGGCATCTGGTCCGAAGTCTCCCCAGGCCCAGCTCACCTAGACTTTGATCGATTTTGTTCCCAAAGATTTTAATTTTCATGCAACCAAAGCCTTTGCTTCTACCCCGGGCTCAGGCCCCACGTCCAGGAGGGAAGCCTGCTGCCCCTACATGTTGAGGACCTGGGGGCCCACCTCCTGTCAGGCACCCCACATGGGCTCCACCCATGCTGTGTTGGAGTGTCCTAGGCCCCCAGGGTCCCCACCCAGCCCCCTCGGGAACAGGCTCCACCTGCAGCCCCAGGGCCTCATCGTCCTGACCTGCAGCTCTGCCATGGCCCATTTCTACACCCTTGGCCACTCTGGTCCTCACCTCCCCAACATCCACGTGCTGGGGCATAACCCAGGACCCTGTGGGATGCCCTCACTCACCGCCCCAGCCTCCAGACCTGCACTGGCACTGTGCTCCCCCCAGGCTTCTGGTCCCCCCTTAGCCTTGAGCATAGCCTGTCTCTCTTGGGTGTCTCCTGGACTCTACGGAATCTTTGGGGAGCAGAACTTGTAGGCTTCCCCAGGAGAGTCAGGTCTTGGTGCTGACAGGTGATCAGCAAAAGATTCTTGGAAGAAGCAGACTGCAGCAGGACGGTTCTGGCCGCGGGCCTGGCGGGAGGTGCCTCGGCTCTGGCCTTGCTTAGGGTCATTGACCAAAGCCTGACCCCAGCTGCCACAGTGCCAAAGCCAGGCCGTGCACTTCTCCCTTTGGGGGCCAGAGAACACACAGGTGCCTACAGCACATTGGCCCCTCAGTCCTTAAAGGAGGAAGTAGCCTCGGGGACTTCCAGGACCCCTGTTGGATGGATATTCCCTTTCCTAGTCAGGGACCCTGCAGGTTGACCTCTCGATCCCCTGATGCAGTAACTGATCCAGGCTGTGGGCTCTGGGCTCCATCTGCCCTTTGGGTGCCCACAGTGGGTGTGGAGACCACAGGGATCCCTAGCCAGTGGGCACCAGGGGCAGCACAGGCTGGGCCCACAGCATGAGCACCCCCCATCAGTGCAAGCCGGCAGCTGGGCTCTTTCCTGGGCACCCTGGGTGGGTCTCTGCCCCTCCTTTCTGCCACCATCCAGCAGGAACTGCGTGAGTTCCTACAACACTAGCCTGTGCTGAGCTCAGCCGTGGTGCCCTCCATGGAGAGAATCCCTGGAGGGCAGGCGGGAGATGGGTCCTGCTGGGGACAGACCACAGGCAGCCATGGGACACTCAGCTCCCTGGACACCTCTGCCTGCGGAAGGCCTCTGTGCACTCCCACTCCATGGCTGAGGCGCCTCAAGCGCTATGCTCGTCGCTGCATTTAAAGGAGGGCAGCTCCTCGATTTCAGTGCTGTCCGGGTACGCAGGAGAGTGGCCCCCAGCTTGGTCCCAAGCCTCCGCAGTCCTCTGTACAAATCTGGCCGTACTGAGGCCCCTTCTAGCCTCTTATAACGTGCCCTTTTGGCCCAGGCAGCCCATTCTCTGTTCTCCAGACACCAAGGCAGCACCTGGGGCTCCCTGCTCCCCAGAACCAGGTCCCCCCATCAGACTCACAGTCGGTCCCGAGCCCTGGCTTCTGGTTCCTGCTATGGAAACGGGGGTCCTCAGAACGACACGAGGCTCCCACAAACGCCACACCACATGCTGAGAGTCCTGACCTGGGGCGCCAATGTAGACCCAGACGGTTCCTGCTCAGGTGAACCCCCGGACTGAGGATGCAGGGCCTCCTACCCCTCTTGCTGGCTGCTCGCTTGGGGGCTCATCGATGAGCTGCAGTGGGACCAAAGGGCTGGAGCCCCCGCTGAGGCCGGACCACCTTCTCATTTCCAGGTTCACAGCACCCGAGCCCACAGGCCTGGACCTGCCCTGCTCAGAAACTGTCAGAGACTACAGGAAGGGACGAAAGGCAAAGGAGGGTCTGAGTGCAGCAGGTCCCCGTCATACGAACAACTTCCATCTTGGGAGAACGTTCATGTTGGATTCGTGCATGGGCCAGCAAAGTGGGTCTCAGACAGTACTGCTATGTGTCTCCAGTGTTCCTCAGTCAGGAAGGGGAGCCCTCTGTGCACATGGCGTGCCTTCCCTCCTGCACAGGGCCCTGAGACCTCAGGTACCTGATAAGCCACTGTGTAGGGCCCCTCGGTGCAGCATGGTGCCTTTGGGTGACTCTCCTGACAGTCACGGCGTCCACCTGATGGTCACTGTGCTCCACACCAGGGATCGAAGCAGGAGGAGAAAAGCAGCCAGCAGGGGAAAAACCCACCAGCCACAGGAAGCACCCTGAGGTGTGCTGCGCCTCTGGCCGGCTTTCCTGAAAGCCCAAAGCTGCCACAAGGTAAAGCCTGTCAATATTAACACAAGTAAAAATGTCACTCTAACACCGGATACAACAAGCTGGGTTGGAGAGGAAGGGTAGGGGTTGGTTTCAGCCACCAACAAGGTGCACTTGGTGGTGCCCAAAGGGTGGACGCTGTCCCCTGCGGATCAGCAAATGCCCAGGAGGGGGGCCCAAGGGCCCTTTGAGGGATGGCAGCAGGAAGAGGCGTGCAGACCTCAGGGCGGGATGGGGTGGCAGCTCTGAGGACTGCCACCACCTCACCCTCGGGGCCTCCCAGGAGTCCTCAAAATGCCCCCGTATCCTTCCAGATGCCGCCAAGTGGGGAGCCATCCAGCAGCCCACAAGCCCTACTGAGGCTGCAAAATCAAGCGTGTGTACAGCATGAAGTCACTGAATTCTGGGAAATCTGTTCCACAGAAGTAGCTACCATTATATCAGGCAGTCGAGGATGGGCCGGTGGGCAGGCGCAGGCGCAGGAGCAGGAGAGAGGCGGGAGCCGCACTGGTGGCTGGATCACATGGGTGCTGAGGATGTGAAAGCTCCCCTCATCTGAGGTGAATGGAAAAGCCCAGCGCCAGCCAGCAGCCCATGGGAGGCAAGTGTGTGGGGGAAGCAGGCTGCTCTGGCTGATGTGTAAGATGCCCCAGCATGCCCAGGTGAGCTGCCCTGGTGCAGGGGGACAGAGGCAGTGCTGAGGGCTAATCTGGGCATCATCTGGTGAGGTCCAGCAAGGCCAGTGCTTCCTTCAGAGAAGGTGGGCAGGGTGGGAGCCCCCCCATCCCAGCCTCGACCCCTAGCCCCTCCCTCATCTGGATCAGGAGAGTCTGCCTGCACCCCAGGGTGGCAGCAAGGGGCTCCTGGCCACTGGACCAAGGATGAGAAGAAGATAAGGGCAGGAGCCAGTGCCCCTTGGGCTCCCGCGACTTGTCCAGAGGCAGCTCCCAGCCACACCTCACTGCTCCCCCTTTCCAATGCCTCAGTAGATGGGGAGGAGACCTCGTTCCTGCTGAAGATCCATGGGACGCTTGGAGACAATCGCTGGGACAGCGAGGCACCCATGTGGAGCGGCTTGTGTGGCCCAGACCCCACATGTGGGAGACACCCCCAAGGCCATGCAGGAGGATGGTGCAGGTCAAGATGTGCCTGGGGACCCTGGATTGAAGGGAAACAATGGCTGTACCCACAAGTCTAGGCAGCAGGAGAAGGGAGGCCCTCCAGGGGCTGTCCGCCTGCCACTGGGGCCAGAGTTGGTCTGCTGAGGGATGTCCTGCCTGTCCCCTCCTGCAGGTGATGAGACTTGGCATCACCCACAAATGAGGTCACCCAGCCCCTGG